GTGTTCAACTTAGAGGGAGATGCCCACGTGTTCAACTTAGAGGGAGATGCCTAGGTGTTCAACTGAGAGAGAGAGATGCCTAGGTGTTCAACTTAGAGGGAGATGCCTAGGTGTTCAACTGAGAGAGAGAGAGATGCCTAGGTGTTCAACTGAGAGGGAGATGCCTAGGTGTTCAAGTTAGAGGGAGATGCCCACGTGTTCAACTGAGAGAGAGATGCCTAGGTGTTCAACTGAGAGAGGGGGTGGGGGGGGGGAAGTCAACCATCGTACCGGCGACTGTCATAACAGCACACAGGTTCCGGAGTGCAACGCAGAGTGACGGCACCATCAATCATGGAACCCAGTCCCCCCACTAATGTAGATCACTGACCCATGTAACCCAGTCCCCCCACTAATGTAGATCACTGACCCATGGAACAGAGTCCCCCCACTAATGTAGATCACTGACTCATGTAACCCAGTCCCCCCACTAATGTAGATCACTGACTCATGTAACCCAGTCCCCCCACTAATGTAGATCACTGACTCATGTAACCCAGTCCCCCCACTAATGTAGACCACTGACTCATGTAACCCAGTCCCCCCATTAATGTAGATCACTGACTCATGTAACCCAGTCCCCCCACTAATGTAGATCACTGACTCATGTAACCCAGTCCCCCCACTAATGTAGATCACTGACTCATGTAACCCAGTCCCCCCACTAATGTAGACCACTGACTCATGGAGCCCAGTCCCCCCACTAATGTAGATCACTGACCCATGGAACCCAGTCCCCCCACTAATGTAGATCACTGACTTATGGAACCCAGTCCCCCCACTAATGTAGATCACTGACTTATGGAACCCAGTCCCCCCACTAATGTAGATCACTGACTCATGGAACCCAGTCCCTCCACTAATGTAGATCACTGACCCATGTAACCCAGTTCCCCCACTAATGTAGATCACTGACTCATGTAACCCAGTCCCCCCACTAATGTAGATCACTGACTCATGTAACCCAGTCCCCCCACTAATGTAGATCACTGACTCATGTAACCCAGTCCCCCCACTAATGTAGATCACTGACTCATGGAACCCAGTCCCCCCAGTAATGTAGATCACTGACCCATGTAACCGAGACCCCCCACTAATGTAGATCACTGACCCATGGAACCCAGTCCCCCCACTAATGTAGATCACTGACTCATGGAACCCAGTCCCCTCAGTAATGTAGATCACTGACCCATGTAACCGAGACCCCCCACTAATGTAGATCACTGACCCATGGAACCCAGTCCCCCCACTAATGTAGATCACTGACCCATGTAACCGAGACCCCCCACTAATGTAGATCACTGACCCATGTAACCGAGACCCCCCACTAATGTAGATCACTGACCCATGGAACCCAGTCCCCCCACTAATGTAGATCACTGACCCATGTAACCGAGACCCCCCACTAATGTAGATCACTGACCCATGTAACCGAGACCCCCCCACTAAAGTAGATCACTGACCCATGGAACCCAGTCCCCCCACTAATGTAGATCACTGACCCATGTAACCGAGACCCCCCACAAATGTAGATCACTGACTCTTGGAAACCAGTCCCCCCACTAATGTAGATCACTGACTCATGGAAACCAGTCCCCCCACTAATGTAGATCACTGACTCATGGAAACCAGTCCCCCCACTAATGTAGATCACTGACTTATGGAAACCAGTCCCCCGAATTCAAAGTTCATCCCGGTCTCACTTGCTTGCAGTGATAAATAGTAATAACAACAATAATAACAATCATAATAAAAATAATAATAACAATCATAATAACAACAATAATAACAACAATAATAATAACAACAATAATAACAACAACAATAATAACGATGATGACGACGATGGTGGCAGTGTCGTTGACAATGCTGGAGCCGGCTCGAGTGGCGCTGGTGCTGTCGGCACGGATTCACCTCGTGGTGGAGGAGGCCCTCACCTTGCCAGCAGTCCCCCCCCTCCCCCCTTACACATCGCACGCCGCTATTTCACATTTACACAGCTGCGCGACACAATTATCATCATTTTTCCACTCTTTCCCCCCCCCCCTCCACCCTTTCATAAACGAGCGAACAAAAGCGTGTTTAATTGCAGGCTCCGGACAATGATGGTAATTATGCGTGCACCTGCGTACGCCAGCGGTGCGGAGGAGAAAGAGAAACTGGGGGGGGGGGGGGGCAGTGGGGGGGGGGCAGTGGGGGGGGGGTTGGGAGGCGGGGGCGGTGGGGCAGGTGATCGCCTCCTGCCGAAGTGGAAGCACGTTGATAGCCATGCAATTAGACGCTGGGACTTTGTGTACCTAAATTAGGGTGGGTAGCATCCCTTGCACTCAATGCTGCCACCCCCCCCCCTGCGTCCCCTCGTCCTATTGAAGGGTAACAGATGAGCAGTGAGATGATGGTTGTTGTTACATTATCTAACAGTGCCGTGAGATAGCAGTTCGGGGCGATATGAACGTAAGGTCGCGCCAGACGCTTGTGATTTCAAATTGGGCGCGCATTAGCTGGGGTGGGGCGGGGGGGGGGGGGGACAAGTTTAGCATCTTACTTTTCTTGTCGACCCATCGATCTGATTAGTCTGTCCGGTCGATCCGATTGTGCGAGGCACAGATGGAGAGAGACGAGAGCACGTGGGGGAGATGGTTTTGCATTTGAAAGACCCAAAACGGGGGGGGGGGGGTTCTTATTGTTGACGTTTAGATAGCGATTCGGTTTCAGTGGTTAGGGTTTCTGTTAGCAATTGAAATACGTTTATATATGAATAAAAACATAATTCTCAGCCCTAATGTAAACAGATAATCCAGAATAAAAATGGACAACTGCTGGATGATGACATCCACGTATTGTGCATCCACATCAGCCGCACGAAGAAGAATGTGGATTGATACTCAGAATTTTTTTTTTTTAAATCTTGTGAATAAAAACATGCTGAAGTTTGTTTTACTAAAACCGTGTATCTCGAGCGGGTCCATGACGTCATCAACCAAGAGGTTGACGTGAGCGTGCTCCATTCAACATACAACAGTTTAGCCCCTCCCCCCACCATCGTAGGTGATGGGGTCAAACCTGGCTATTGAGTCTCATGAAACACGTGGCAATGGGACCTCCCAGATCATTCAAAGAGAGGACCATTGGTTTTTGTTTGTAGTTTGTCAACAATTTTCAAACGTGGTTACTGTTGGACCATGAAGATGCACAATGCGAACCTGTCCCGTTCCTTAGAACGGTCAATTCAAGATAAATTATTGATCAGTTTGCATCTTTTAGTTATATTTAAGCTAATTAGAAAATGTTTTCAATGTACGTCATTGCTAAGGTATTTATAATAATTATCATCATCCTTTTAACAGTTATTATAATCCGTGCTCATACAAGCACTGTTGGTGACGGTCATCTCTCCATTGGCAGCCGAGCCAAGCGATGGCCATTCCACATTCCCATGGACCAGGCACAAACACAGGAGCGACAAATCAACCGTAGGTTGACCTTGCACGAAGTGCCCCTCGTTGCGGGAAACAAGGGAATAATGGAGTGCTCCGTGCACCGGTTTGAAATGAAATATTGGTGCCCAAGAATCAAGCCTGTAAACTTTTAATGGTCCCTCCAAACGCGTGTAATCTTTCATGATCAGACTTGGCACTCGGAAGACACTGCAATTGACAATGCTTCCTGCTTAGGCATTCATGCGTTCCTGTAACTCCATGCCCGTGTTGGCACGCGGTGACGAGCCACATTTTTCGCCGTGGTCAGCAGTGGTTAGCGCCGTCATCCGTGAAAAGGCGCAAAACCCAATATGACAAAACCGTAGCGGTGGTCTGACAGGTGAGGTCGTAATTTTGCATCACATCCAATTACCACTTTGACACATTTAATTTCCAATGCTGATTGCGGTACTTTTCACAGTGGGTTTTTAATGCCTTGCCGGCGTGTGGCTTCCGAAATTGGCACTGTTTTGCACAGAATAAATTGCATTTTATAGCCCCGCCGATTAATTGGCTCGCACTTGACCTCTGACCCTCCGCGGTAGGCCAATCGGAATTGGAGCCGGGCCAGCGGCGCTTCAAGGAGACCCTGGGTGGCAGCTGTAACGCGAGCTTCAGGCCACGATACGATCTCCGAAAAATGTAAAATAAATCAAAAACTCCGCTGGGATGGATTCACTCTGTCGCCAAGTGCCAATCTCCAGTGTGACGCTGCTGTTGAGATGCACGGCTGTCATACATCGTCCTACGGAGGTGGGACTGGCAGAATGCCCGCCACGGAGGTCATTGCTGTTGCGAGTCACCCGACCTGCAGCTCCGCAAAGTGAACGGCGGCGGATGGAAGTGAAGCGAGGAGGTTTGCCGATCTGTCTGATGCTCCTCGTATGCGTGGGTTTGCTCTGGACACTTTGGTTCCCTCTCACACGGCCAAAGAAATAAATAAGCCAAAGTAAACTCATTAAGGAATAATGGCTGGACATCCGAAGAAAGGACCCCCTCCCCGCATGGGAGGTCATGTGGGATTGTTTGGCCATTCTTCACCACACTGGTGAAGTGGGTAGCTCCCAGGACCGGTTCAGATGTCACCCGCTGCTGACGTTAGCCGTGGCTGGGATATTGAAGTCTGGCGGCCGGGTTTGTTGTGCGCGTATTGTGCTGTGAGCCACTGCACGCACCCGTTCACCCCCACATGGGCTCTCGCCCCCATATAAAGAATGAAAACTTTCCCCGCTGCCCAGGTAAGCGGAGTAAAACGTTCGCTTCAACACGAAGGCCTTCCGCGACCAATACGATTCGCATTTATCCGCGGAACGTTCACATTCGACCCCATCGACACCATCGCCGCCTTCACTCTCGTTCTCTTCCCTCCACCTTCCCCCGCCCCCTTTTCCCCTCCGTTCCCTTCCTCCTACCCAACTCTCCTGCCCATGCGCCCCCACTCCTCCCCCCCCCCCACCCGACTACTCTGGCTCCCCTGCACAGGTGTCAAACTGGTTTGGGAACAAGCGGATCCGCTACAAGAAAAACATCGGTAAGTTCCAGGAGGAGGCGAACATCTACGCGGCACGGACCGCCGTTTCGGCCACCAGCAGCGTGCACCACGGGAGCCAGGCCAACTCGCCCAACACCCCCACCTCCGCTGGTACGGCCCGCACTCGCAGAGCACTGCCAATGGGAGCAGGCCCTACCAAGTCGCAGTGTGAAGGGGTGCTTGTGTGGGGGCGGCCTCGGGTCTTTACGCTTCTGCCGAACCTCGTGCCTGCGCTGGGGAGTGCGGGGTTAGCGGCGTGTGTGGGGCTGGCCGCCCTGGTTTTTTTTGGAACTGGTACTCATGCTGGAAGGGGAGTTTACACAAAAAAATTGGGACAGACCGAATGTTTTTTGGCCAGTGCAAGGTTTTGTCGGCGTCGGTTATTTAACCGAGTGAGAGCCCGCCGAGGTCCACGTCTCTTTTCCGCGAGATGAGAAATTCAAAGGGTGGCGTTTCTGGCTGCCCCATGCGATTGTGCACTCCGATATGAGCATACTCATGATAATAATAATCTTAAAAAAATAGTCAACGTGATTTGCTGCTCAAATGAGCGCTGGGGCAGACCCGGGCCAGTCGTGGAAATTCCACATTCCAACGCCAGATTCCATTCGATCCACAATGATGATCACTGTTGACTTGCCACAGAGTGGCACCATTTTCCTGGCCGCAGAGGGATGAATTGGCTCGGTCAACCCATGACTGGAGTTTGAACGCTCGACCGACTTGACTGTGAGTCATGTGCTCTAACCGCTGTTCCACTTGTGGAAACACAGTTAAGTCAGAGGCGAGTCAAAGGGTCTCGATGCTCTGACGAGCAATGCGAGCGGCACTCATTTCCAGTGGCAGCTCGTAAATGTTGGTGGGAATTCCACATTCCTATGGTGGAGGCGGCAGTCTTATCAACAGGTTAAACCAAAGTTGACTTCAATCGAAGTGGTTGGGGGGGGGGAATCTTACGAAAGGCACTGGCAATAAAATCGAATTGAAAAAAATACTTCCATTATTATTGTCCAGCATGTGTACAAAAACACTTTTTTTTGCGGCATGGAGAGAATGGCGATGATGATGACGACGACGATGCTGATGCTGCTGATAATGGCGGTGGTGATATTTTTTTCTGTTTGATGTCGCTGCTGCTGCTGCCGCTGCTACCGCTGTTGTTGTCGTGTTGTTAACGATAGCACCGCTTCACATCTGCATTGGTACGGCCTGCCTTGACACGTGCTAATATTGGGAACGAAATTTACCGGGGAGGGGAGGGGGGGGGCAGAGGTATCTTTTTGATTGTTAAACTCACGAGTCGAGGTGTTGGGTGGGTTCCTCATTTTTAAGTCACACAAATTGTTTTTCGGCAAGGCTCATATCTATTTCTTGAACACTGACTGCCCATGTGTTTGATGGCGAAGTAAATGTTTGCCTGTGCAATTAACGGAAGCAAACTGCACGAATTGATGCCTTTACATGCGTACGTTGTTTCAGATTGCCGCTGACGTTGCCGATGTGATGTGAATTTGTTATTCTGTATTTTTGGTTCGCACGTTTAACTTTTTTTTGGGGCGGGATTTTAATAAGATCGGGTTTTTTTTTAATATATATTCGCATTGGGAATCTTTCACCCAAGTCAATAGGCTGATATAATTCGAGCAAAAACAACAACCATAATAATATTATTCATAATCCCATATCAGTTAAGGCCTAACGGAGGAGTCTCAAACTATTTTTTGTTTAAACTGGAGGTTTGTGTGGTGGATTGTTAGGCCAATTGCTTACTTCTTAATATAATACATATATAAAGGTTTCATAGGATAAAGCAACAAAAAATTAGGCCATTTCATTTTATGACCCAAAAGGTGTCATTGCAATATCCCCTTTGAATGTATTTCTCTTGGTAGCTTTGTGTTTGTTTTTACGACACTACCACTTCCTCTGCGCACTTTATATCTCCTGTAATCGTATTCCTTTATAAGCATTGGCTCAAAGAATCGACCAAACCTTTATTATGTAAAAAATGCCATGAAAAAAAATGTTTTTTTTTATCCCCCGTACAATATAGCAAACCAAAAATACAGAACGCTAGTCTTGCATGTCATCTACATTTGCATGTTTGTGCTTGCTCGTTAAATGCCCTTCAAACTGACTCCTAGCCTCCTGACAGTGCCGAGAGGGAGGCCACCACATTTGGCCAAATGCACGGGACATTTTCCGACCGAAACAAGCGTGGGAGGAAACTGATTCTTGAGTGGGATTCGAATCTAAATAATTTACATAGTACCAGCGGGGTTCATTCTAAAACCGACCATGAGCCTGGCAGGTGAATATTCCACATTGCTCAGGCAGAGTCCGTCTATAGGACCACCACTGTTGATGTCTCACAAAGTGGTACTGATTTTATCCACCCCAGAGTGATTGAAGGGCTGAGGCGACGCCCATCCCCCTGCCACCACAACTGGAATTTGAAGAACCTATTCAGATTTTTTTTAAACCTGAAAATTTACCGTTGATAAAAATGTGTGGAAAAAATAAACATTGCAGCAATAGTACAGAAATGTGTAAAATGTTTTAAAGTATGTGATGAGAGAAGTGGCTTACGGGGTTCATAAAGGCTGTGTTTGAGACACTGAACCGGCACCAGCGAGACATCCTGGGTCAGAGGCCGGGTTTTAGTCACCCGTGATTAAACCGGGTTCTCAAGCGCAGCCAGTTGATGGGCTCGGCCCGCTAACTATTTGCAAATTGACATGAGAGCTCTGTGTGAGCTAGGAATACATAGGTCCACTAACTATTACCTTTGTTTCTGTCCCCTCACTCCCTGATCCAATCCCCTCATTGCTGTTCTGGCCCCCTTCATGACCCCCCCCCCTCCCATTCAATTTACAACACCCGCTCTCCTACCACCCGCCCACCATTCACGTCTTCCTCACTCCTCTCCATATCAACCCCATGTGCTTCCCCCCCATGCTATATCTCATCACCGCCTCGATCGTTCAAACATCACTATTGACGCACCCCACGGCCTACTCATTGGACTGTGCCATGCCGGGCCCTACTGCCCACCCTCTCCCTCCGCCGCCTCCCCCCCCCCCCGACCCCCCCTCCCCCGGTGTGTCCCCGTTCGTCCCTGCGCCCCCCAAGGCTCCTCTGGCTCGTTCTCCATGCCAAACCCGAGCGATATGTTCCTGGGCATCCCGGGTATGAATGGAGACTCGTACAGCTCGTCCGGGGTGACTCCCAACATCCAGTCGCAGGTGAGCGATGAGCGAGCGCGGCGCAGCCGGCGCTGCGACGCGGTGTCGTCGTCACCATCGGCGCTCCCAACGTGGGGCCCGTGGCGAGGAATCCTCGCCACCAGCCACCGCCCTCCTCCACCAACGAGCCGATACTAAAATGTCACTTTCGTCATCTTCGGCGTCGTCATCATCACCATCACGAGCACACTCACCGCCCCCTCCCAGGGCATCGTCCCCACCATCTCCATCGTCAGCACTCTCCATCAAGACATCGCTACACATATAAACAGGACTAGGTCAAGCTAGAGTTACATTTATTTAAGTAAAAAAATCTGTGATTGCAAATGTCCTGATTTTGGTCGGGACAGTCCTGGTTTCAGAAAGGCTATCCAGATGTTCTGATACTTTTGTGAAAATGTTAATTTTGTCCCAGTTAAAACTTTCTGGTTTCATACTCGACTCATGAGCAGTGAGTGGAAGTGGCAGAGGAGAGGGTTAGGCCTATGAGGGGTATGCAGGGGCGAAGTCATTGTGTGGGTGGGGATAGTGGTTTGGTGGGCATGGCTGTGTAACATTGGGGCGTGCCTAACAAAGAGACGGGCTGCCCAGGCTCCCGCGTGTCCCAGTTGAGCCTCCCAGATATCTGGCAGCTTAAGTGTTGGAACTATTTGGAAAGAGTGCGGGAAACATATAGCCGGGGCTTATCTGTTTATGACAATAAGAGCAGCAGAGTAGAAGGAGGAGACACGTGGTACGGAGATAGCTGGACAGAGAAGTCAGCATTTTCTGCGATAGAGAAAGCCGGGAGGCAGAATAGATGGGAAAATGAAATCACAGAGGTTAGCTAAAGCAGAAATATGGAGGACTTTCAGTACACTAAGAGATAATTTACAGTTTGATGGAATGCCAGTGACGAGACCAAACTATTTTGATACTAATCAAAATGTAACATTTTTGTACCACCTAGCTACGCTGTTGTTTTAAAGAGCCTTATATATTTTACGTAACCTTTCGCGAGGCGACATATTTCAATGTCTAGTGACAAAGCTGACACTCAATTAAAACCAACAGTTTCCCTCGCATCGTTAATAATATTTGGAAGGCCCAAGGCTGTTTTCTTTTGAAACGATAAACCCGCGGTGGAGACGGGGAATTTCCCGAGATAAATATTCTTTATCGGCGGTATTAGCGCATTTTTACACACGCTTAATGTCGCCGTAAAAAAAATAAAGTTAAAATATGTTTTTGTCGTTTTTAAAGGCTAATGCAATTTTACGTGAGCCATCAACGCAGCAGCACGGGTTGCATCTGGTTGACGAAATGTTTCGAAATAACGTTTTTGAGTGAAAATTGTAATTTTCATCGTGGAGAAAACGGAATGCAAGCACCGTTTCTTGTTAGCCAGCTCCTCTATTATTTAACACTGCTGTTTTTATTTGTTCCGTTTTATTTGTTGCATTTTTGTCATCCCGCATTCCAAACTGCACCTTTGTTTTGTTTGCGGAGTGAGGCGTTATTACCGTACTCAAAATTAAATCACAGCGTCCTTTGCAGGGCCTATCGGAAATCCATTTCACACAAAACTAGAGAAGCATAAGGTAATCGAAGATCAATGTGATATCACTTTCTGTGATGTCACTTCCTGAAGCCATACTCGCATGACAGGTAGGAGGGGGGGGTGGCCAAGCTTTGAAACCAATAATGACATCGTTTCAGTGCCTGTGATTGGCTGTTGATAAGGCCACGCCTTTTTTCGCGACATCGTTTTTCTTATATACGAGCGCCCCTTTCTAGGGCTTTATATGCATCCGAAATAGAATAGAAGCGATAGCTGATGTCACCTTGCGCGACAACGTCGCTGTCAACAACAGCAAAAATCCCCGCCGAACATTGCGAGAAGATAGCGAATCAGTGGGCGTGCTAACGGCATTATCAGTGGCTGGCGTAGTAACTACATTATCAGCTCAGGGGTTGCGGCAATCGGTCAGGTGGGGCCCCGATATTTCATTTGTCTCGCACGGTCGCACCTAGGCTATCTATTGTGACTCCTCTTGCCTAATCACATCATCATTACGCTCATGGTCTCGAACATTTAACGTTGTCGGAGCGCTCCGTCTTCGTAAAGCGCAGCCACAACAGCTTCGTAGTTGTACCTCTTCATAGAAATAAATTTAAACCGCGTTTGTTTTAAATACGTCTTTGTGTTTTTTACACCGTTGTTGAAAACAAATCTCATGATGGTTGTCGGGGGGCGGGGGGGGTCCAACACGTAGCTTTGGCCACCGGGGGGAGGCCAAGGCACCCTCTGCCCCCCACGCTGTATAACAATACTGTCCATAGTGAAGGGGTTTTTTTGGGGTTAGTTTGTGTGAAATATAGATGCAACACGTCCTACTTAATTAAATAGACTTTTTAATAAGTGTTTTCTCCTACAACATCAGAGTGCAGCGGCACATTAAATACGCACTACAATGACAATAGTTTAAAGCGATTTGAAGCACTTTTTATAATCAAAATGGAAATATGGTTTGGGGGGGGGGGGCAGAGCTTTGTGACGTCATATTTGAGGGGGGGGGGGGGGGTCTGACTTTTTGTGACGCCGTGTGACGAGGGGGGGGGGGGGGTTGTCAAAAATCGTCCGAAATCGCGTGACGTCATTTATGGACGGCCCCTTAGCCGGGATTGTGTCGCTGACCGCAAGGGCGAGGGAGTCTCCGTTTGGGCGGTCGAGCCGTGCGCCGTTAGCACGAGGCGGGCGGGGGGGCCCTGTCGACAGCGATGGAGCCCGAGCCTGCGAGGGGAGGTCCAAGCGCGGCATGAAGCCGCCCCTTGTCGGAGCTGTCGCCCAAAATGAAATCGGCCAACTTGTGTTTGTCTTTCGCGGCGTCACTTTAATTCCCTCGCACTTTGCTTAATTACAGGGAACCCATATTTGTTATCTGGGAGGGTTGAATAATTGCATTTTTTAACGAGCACAAGGGTAATTATTTTTAACAATTTATCACGAAGTGGGTGGAAAATCAATTAGGGTTTTTTTTTTTTCAATAGTAATGAGCGATGACAGTGGGTTTATAAAAACCCAGGTCATTTTGACACAAGCGGGTGGGTGTGTGCGTGTGTGTGCGTACATTTTTTTCGGCACAGTTTAGCTGTCGGATTAGCTGTGTCAATTTATTGCCTCTTTCTCTTCGTTCAATCTATTATTGTTTTTAATTGCAGACATTGGTGTCAGCCGCAATCACAGATTTTTCACTCGCGAAAGTCCTGGATGTTGAAGATAAACATGATTTTAAACAAAAGAACTCATCCTAGTTTCTGTACAGCGGTTGACATCCAGAGACAAAGGTCCCCCGTATAGCCTGAACAGACTTTTGGGGCAGGCGCTGTGAGCGAGTACCTTTGAATGACGGCACGGCGCAGTGGCGATGTTTTACACATCGCCCAGGTAGTCAGTTGAAGCAGAGTCGACCTAGGGGAGGCCCAGGTTCAGTTCAGATAGTCGTCGCTGGTGTAGGCCGTGAGCGGGAGTTTAACTCGGTTCTCGCGGGGGTTCGTAGCGCAGCGCATAAACCGCCACGCCTCCGCTCCTCGCACGCACGCATGCCGACAACAAGCGCGCACACATTTTCTCGGACAAATGCAAGCTCTGAAATATCATCCGATGTCTCCCGCAGTCTGCGGCGGACGGACGCTCGCTCGCTCGTCAAGCGATCTTTGCGTCCGCGCGGCATTCGTCATCTGCACAATCTCCGTCCAGTTTCAATTCGCCCGATTGAAACAAGAGATCCCCAATCGCGACCGTGGATGCCGGCAGAGGCTGATTGTCCACGCCGTCGTAGTTATTTTTCATTGACTTGTCAACTTTTCTTTCCATTTCCATTAAAATCGTGGGGCGGTGGCACAAGCGGTTGGCGTACTGCGCTAGGAATCGGGCAATCTGCAGGCCCGGGCCTCCGTGACCCTCTGGGTGGCCCTCGCCGTACACAAGCAAGAGAGAGACTTTGACTTCATGTTTTATTTGTGCCCCTTTGTGCCGTGCCCATCGCCCCACCCGTTCCTGCCCCCCCCCACCACCTTCCCCCCCCCGTCAGGTGGATTCCCTGCGCCACGTCATGAGCCAATCGAGCGCCTATGGGGACGGTATGGCAGCCAATCAGCTCTACAGCCCCCCGGCCATGAGCGTGAGTACAGCTTCGGGACGTTAAAGATCTCTTGGGGGGCGGTATTCGTAAAAGAGCGGGACTTTGCAAATAACTACCTGCGATATACACGACTATGCGTCCCCTTCGTATGTCTTGTCTCTCCGCATCACAAATACGTTTTGTTGTATTACTTGCCAGCGGCCTCTTATTTTCACACACACACACATTTTTTTTTATATACGGCCGATTTGCGACTCGCACGATTGGGAGAACGCGTCGCCCCGACTGCGAAACTGCCGAATAAGTCTCGCGGCTTGGCAAGGCTTCTTCCGTTCGCGAGCAAAGAGTCTAGACTCTGTCATCTTCCTGAAGAAGCCCCAAGCTTGGACTGTAACCGGTCACTCCTGGATTTAAAGGGCTAACGGCACCAAAACGGTACAAGTAGTCGCGTGTTGGGTCTGCCTAATGCTACTGATGCATTGCGAGGTGTGCATGTAAGGGGCAACAAAGACAAAAATCCCCCATATAGCACCCATCAAGGCCGGTACAGCACACGAGGGGGTGGGTGGCCAGCACCACGTCCGGCCATCTCTGTCTCCCCAGCGCTGATGTTTACACAACCGCACAAGGTACTCATTTGAGGCCCAGGACCGGTTCAGGTATTCGTCACACATTTTGGTCGTGAGCGGGAATAAAACTCAGGTCGCCGGGTTCGTAGCGCAGTGCGCTAACCACTACACTACCAATTTCCAGGTCATGGGTGACGCACACACACAGTTACGTGATAACCATCAACTCGCAGCAAGTGACGGGGTTATTACCGGGTCATTACTTGCGTGAGGAAAGCCATTCTTTGTTCGTCCAAAGCCCCCACGATGTTAAGACTGGACCTTGAAGGTTTATATGGAGTGTTCTTGCCAGTAACATCTTGGTTGCCCAGCAGCGTCAGTTTAACAAGCCTCATGAGACCCAAAGGGCCAAAACAAGAACAGACTTTGCTTGCCGAAACAGAAGCTGCTGAATAGCTTTTTGTCTGCAAAGGCAATGGGCCGATGAACCAAGACTCAATATCGCTGACCCGCCGACACTGAGCATCTGTGAAAAAGAGCTTCAAAGCTCATCGGATTCCTCCAGCCATGAATAAAGATACCCGATTCGGACTCTACGCTCTGTAGAGATCAAGGCTGTAATTATAATATATATTGGGGGGGGGGGTCATCCCAATATTCAAATATGCTCAAAATGTCCCCCCCCAAATATATTGCTATAAAATAGATTTCTGTTTATATGCTTGTGGTTGTGGTTGTACTTTATTAATCCCTAATCTCTGCCATTACATACAATGAAACAAGAAAAGGTCAAAAAGAAAAAAAAACAGAGCAATGTAACACAATACACTATTAGACATTATTGTAAAAAAATAAATACAAAGTCCATCCTATGTATTTGTGAATTTTTTAAAATATTTTAGCCAGGAAATTCGTTTTCAAATCTAGATTTTTTTTCTGGGGGGGGGGGGGGGGTGACCCCCAAGTCCCCCTGAGGATTTGGTCCCCGGCGAGCGCCAGCCTCTCGTGTTCGCTGACGGAGGGCGAGCGGCGAGCGGCGCTTCGCGCTACGGCGTCCTGGGCTCTTCACCGGGGGGCCGGGCGTCTCGGCAGACGAAGCGAGCGGCTCGCAATCGGATGGCGGCACACGTTGAAGTCGTCATCGGGCGGGGTGGTGGTGGGGGTGGGGATGAATCTTCCCGTCATCCGTCCAGGGGGGGGGGTGGGCGGGCGGTCGCTACAATTTGCGCCACGTTGCACGGATCTCGACGGTGGTTGCTTGCCCCTCCTTTGGCCAGGCTCAGCACCACCCGCCACAAGAATGTGGAAAATGTAAGCGCCGTAGACGAGACGTGAACGTCGGCCTCGATCGCTCATGCGAGAAGCCGGGGACATCACTTCGGACTTTCTGTCATTGCTCGTTGACCGATTAGTCGAGCGAGGCTCGGACGCAGAACAAACTTTTAACGAGCGCTCGCGCGCGCGCGCTGTTGGCGTTTATCCGGCGAACGGCCGGTTGGTCCTGCCGAGTTTCCACGGCCGTCTATGCCCCGCCCCCCGCCGCTGCTTCCACCACCACCCACCCACCATCACCCACCCACCATCACCCACCCACCACCCACCCACCATCACCCACCCACCCACCCACCATCCACCCACCACCCACCCACCATCACCCACCCCCCACCCACCATCCACCCACCACCCACCCACCATCACCCACCCACCACCCACCCACCACCCACCCACCATCACCCACCCACCATCACCCACCACCATCCACCCACCACCCACCCACCCACCATCACCCACCCACCCACCACCATCACCCACCCACCATCCACCCACCACCCACCCACCATCACCCACCCACCACCCACCCACCATCACCCACCCACCACCCACTCACCCACCACCCACCCACCATCACCCACCCACCATCCACCACCCACCCACCATCCACCACCCACCCACTACCATCACCCACCCACCCACCACCATCACCCACCCACCATCCACCCACCACCCACCCACCATCACCCACCCACCACCCACCCACCATCACCCACCCACCACCATCACCCACCCACCATCCACCCACCACCCACCCACCATCACCCATCCACCACCCACCATCACCCACCCACCACCATCACCCACCCACCCACCACCACCCACCTCAGCAGCGCTCCAATTAGTCGCAGGCCGCGAGCGCGCGCTGACATTTTCTCTCTCGCCGCTGCGGAGAAAGCCAACGGATGTTGTTTTGTTGATGGTCATATTTTTTTTAATGTTTTTTTTTAATATATGTGTCGTTGTTATTCTTACGACCAGATAGGCAGATGTATTTTTTTTGCGGTGACAATGAAATGGTGGAGGTTTTAGGACTCGCGTGCATGCGCACCCATGTGTGTGCGTGTGTGTGTGTGCCGCGAGGGTAATAAAGAGGAGGACTGTTTTTAGTTTTTCTTACTGGAAGGAATTGGAATGTGGTTAAGTTCATACAAAGAAAAAGATCCCCCGTGTAGCCTTAACACACTGTAGGGGGCGAGTACTGTTAGCGAGCACCTATTGAACGCCGGCTCTGTACATGAGCGGGTGTAGATGGGTGGCCAGCACCACACCCAGCCGCCTTTGTCTCTCCAGTGGCAATGTTTTACACACCAGCTACTCATTTGTGGCTGAGTCGAGCTAGGGGAGGCCCAGAACCGGCTCAAATAGTGGTAACTGATGTCGGCCGTGAGCGGTAATTGAAGTCGGGTCGTGGGGTTCGTAGCGCAGTGCGCCACCACTGCTCCCCCGAGTTTGTAAACAACAACAACGAGCGCCGTTCGCCACGAAGTGGTGGTGATGTCACCGCGGCCAATTAATTTACCACTAAAACCACGAATTAAACCACGAATTGTACACACGCACGCATACACACGCGTGTGCACAGACCTGGCAATGTGATGATCTTTTTTTAGTGCAAGTTTACAATGCGTTTTTGATTTAAGTAACAGTGAGCGCATCGCAGTGGCCATGTTTTATCCTGCAGTGAGGCGCAGTTGGTCATAGGCAGAGGGGGGAACAGGCTCGGCTCAGACCTGTACTTAAACTCATAACAGACTGAATGAATGCGATCATCTTCATCGCAGAATGCCACAACGCCGTTGCGCTGTTGTTGCTGTTGTCGTGCGCACTTAAAACTTCAGTCTGTTGCACGATTGTCTACGCCGTCGTTAGTGTTTCCATCGCAATTCTCAAACGTCCTCTCGGACTCCTTAGATCCAACCGCAGGATCATAGATCCAACCGCAGGATCATAGATCCAACCGCAGGATCATAGATCCAACCGCAGGATCCTAGATCCAACCGCAGGATCATAGATCCAATTGCAGGATCATAGATCCAACCGCAGGATCATAGATCCAACCTCAGGATCATAGATCCAACCGCAGGATCAAGGATCCAATCGCAGGATCATAGATCCAACCGCAGGATCATAGATCCAACCGCAGGATCATAGATCCAACTGCAGAATCATAGATCCAACCGCAGGATCATAGATCCAACCGCAGGATCATAGATCCAACCGCAGAATCATAGATCCAACCGCAGGATCATAGATCCAACCGCAGGATCATAGATCCAATCGCAGGATCATAGATCCAACCGCAGGATCATAGATCCAACCGCAAGATCATAGATCCAACCGCAGGATCATAGATCCAACCGCAGGATCATAGATCCAATCGCAGGATCCTAGATCCAACCTCAGGATCATAGATCCAACGGCAGGATCATAGATCCAACTGCAGGATCAAAGATCCAATCGCAGCATCAAAGATCCAACCACAGGATCCTAGATCCAACCGCAAGATCATAGATCCAACCGCAAGACCATAGATCCAATCGCAGGATCATAGATCCAACCGCAAGATCCTAGATGCAACCGCAGGATCATAGATCCAACCGTAGGATCATAGATCCAACCGTAGGATCATAGATCCAACCGTAGGATCCTAGATCCAACTGCAAGATCATAGATCCAACCACAAGATCAAAGATCCAATCGCAGGATCATAGATCTAACCGCAGGATCATAGATCCAACCGCAGGACCAAAGATCCAAACGCAGGATCATAGATCCAATCGCAGGATCATAGATCCAATCGCAGGATCATAGATCCAACCGCAGGATCATAGATCCAACCGCAGGATCATAGATCCAACCGCAGCATCAAAGATCCAACCACAAGATCATAGATCCAACCGCAAGATCATAGATCCAATCGCAGGATCATAGATCCAACCGCAGGATCATAGATCCAACCGCAGGATCAAAGATCCAACCGTAGGATCGTAGATCCAACCGCAGGATCATAGATCCAACTGCAGGATCATAGATCCAACCGCAGGATCCTAGATCCAACCGCAAGATCATAGATCCAACCGCAAGATCAAAGATCCAATTGCAGGATCATAGATATAACCGCAGGATCCTAGATCC